CCGCCCCAAGATCAGATACTAATTTGAATTTTTTTAGTTAACTGGTATTTTTTAGCTAGTTTGGTATTTTGGAAACTTTTACATGGGTACATGGCATAAGCTGCTACGGGACTAAAAAAGCATTCATTTTTATGACCTCAGAGACAGCTTCCTGTGAGCATCGGGGCTTGGGGGCAAAATCTTCACCTTACATGCTTGCAGCTTGGGAAAAGCAGAGGAGATATTGGTACATTTTATTTTAGTAGAAGGACCTGAACAAAGAAGTCTATGAACTCATTCAATAGTAACAATTCTAATGCTGTAGAAATTTTTAAAAATGTAGCTTTCTCTGTTTCCAAAGTCTTCATACTAATGTAACAATTGTCTTCTAGAAGTAGAAATAAATGAGATTAAACATACCAACATATCTAAATGTTATACAAAGGAGTGGGATGTCTAGAAAGAAACCATACAGTAGAAAAAGCACTGTGAATTAGGTATATATTATCTTACTGTATAATTCATCTACTTCAATTGCAGCAATATACAGGCCTCCTAATTAAGAATCTGTTGTGCTAATTAGTTGTCAAACTAATCTTTGAACTTCTTGTGTTAAGTTTTCAGAGCATATTAAAATGTTTTATAGATCTAAAGGTAGATGTGAGAATGGAATGATAAACGTGAACCGTGAGGCTAAAATAGGAAAAGGGAGTAGGTAACAATGGTAAGTGAACAGAATATTGTAGTTGACAGATCTGTGTGTGCTTATGCACTACCATGACAAACACCTGGTGTGCTGGAGGCAGATCACCTTCACTTTGTTTTACAGTACATTACAGGGGAGCAGGCTTACAGACAGAAGGGAAGGTTGAGCTATATTACCTGGTGAATGCTTTCTTGCAGAAGAGTAACCTTCACTTTGACCACTGATCAAGCAGGTGGGAACATAAGAAATAAGTCTTCCCTGAAAATTGCAGAAATTCTGAGTGTGGTTGTCTCCACGTAGCAGTTAGTTATTTTGGTGATGTGGGAAGACAGACTCCTAAAGATTTTAACTGCACCATAATTACTGAGAGAATTTATTTGTGTTACAAAATCTAACCATATTAGGTGTTGGAATTCCACTCGTTTTCACTGGATCACTAGATTGAAAGTTTTTTTTGGTTTTCCCTCTGTATATCCAAGTATTTGTATAAATCTGGTGTGTTTATGCTTTTAGGTCAATTACGTTCATGTAATTCTGTTAAAGAAGATGTCAGGAGTACCTGTAGCTGTTTTTTAAATGCTAAATATTTGAAACTGAAATAGGAAATTTCTCTCACTAAAACAAAACTAGCAATCTGAAAGGCTATTCTTAGGATGTTTGGTAAAATTAGAACTTTCTCTAGTATTTTTCATCACTTCGCACACAGACAATTGAGACCAATTAACAAGCTTGTGCATAATATAAAAATGGTTGGCCAGTCCTTGCATTGTAGATTCTTGGGTTAAAATATTTTTGTATCTCAAAAATACTTCATGCTCTGTTTTTCAGTGAAAGAACTTGCCATCCTTACAAGAGATTTTTTTTTTTCTAAAATTATAAATTGAAACCTACAAGTAATTCAAGAACATTGCACTTCAATCATGTAAATTTATTTTTTATATAGTTTTCCTTCAAAGTATGGCAACTAATATAGCAGTTGGCAAAATAAAGAGAGCTGTACTACTTCCAGTTGTATTTTTATGAGGTGTACAAAGCAGCACATAGGCATGTAAACAGTATTGCTTCCCTCAAATGAAGGATTATTTTAAAATTTCATCAACTTGAAGATATGAATTAAAAATCCATACCTGCTCCTATTGTATTTGCCTTAACAGATGTTCTCAATAATGAGGCTCTGAAGAAGTTCACCTTGTACTGGTGGACTTAGAGTAGGGATTTAGCAACTGTTCTCATATTTACTGGTAATTTCCCTCTGTTGCCTCCAATTTAAAAGCAAAGTAACATGTGGCCTTGGATGTGTTTGTGTGGGTTGTTTTTATTTTGTGAATCCTGATCATTCTGACTGAAATAATACTTGTTTCTGCCAAATACCAAACAGTTAAATCTGCAGCCTCTGGGTTTTATTTCCCTGTTGTTCTAAACTTCAGATAAAATGTCTATTTTGTTGTTGCTGTTCTTGAAATTAATTCTGAAAAAATGAAAAATGCTAGTCAGTTTATTACGTTTTTTTCTCTCCTCTTTGATTCCTCCTTGCTATGAGATGGGAAGATTTGAGTGCTGCACTGCTGAACATGAGCAGGTAGAAATTCTGGCAGCAAGTGTTGCTCCCTGCCCTAGAAGAGCTCTTGTGTATAGTTAGAACTCTCACATTAAAATCCAACTTCTTCATCAGTATCCATTTATAATTTTTCATTGTATCTTAATCTGGGGAGGGAGTTCTTAAGAATAATGAATTAAATTAATCTTCCATGAGCAGTTTTGGTGAAACAGGGAAGCTTTCTGCAAATGAGTCTTTTGTGAGAATTGGGCAATTTTGTTGTGGTATGGAGTTACTTTAGAATTGTTTCCACCCCATGAAGTTTTATTATTTCCACATAATCTTAAATGTGTAAAAAACATTAATCAGAAAGAACATCCATCCCCCAAAACAAAGGGTTTCTGCTGATGTTCACCTGTGTGTTGTGGTTTAGAACATGATACTGAACTACAGAAGAAATAAAAGCATGTTTCTGAGAACAATATGGACACCAGCTGGAAGATGTTAACTAAAATGTCCTGCTGAGAAAGAGACAGAACCAAAGCCAGGTTATTTTAATTTAAAATAATTTTCTTTGTGTTCTGCCTTTGATATTTTTGAAGAATAGGAAATACAAAGGGAAAGAAAAAGTAATTGGCAAGTGGTGGCCTGTGATCCCAGAACGTAAAGGGGTAATTTCTATTCCCTACTTCTTCTTAAAAAGAGTAATTTGATGAAAGTGTATAGTAATTTTGAAAATACTTTTGTTCTGAAGGAGTTTATATTTGGTTTTGTTACATTTTTGTGGGTTTTTTTCTTTCATTGTGCAGAAATTTTTTCCCTTCTTAGGTGGATTTCTCCCACTTGACAACTAAGAGTCACTTTAATAAAGCTGCTGAAGACGTTAGGAAATCAGCTGTGTCACTTGGTTCAGTGCAGTAAAGATATTCCTCTAGAAGAAATTTGCAATTCCTTCTTTTCCACTGCCTCTTATTAACAGATTAAAAAGCCCCAGTTCTATACGCCTGTTGTTTTGTTCAACATCCAGCCTTTATTTTCTTCAACTGAACAAACACTGGACTCCTCATCATCTGATTTGTGGTACTTCGGATGCCACCCTTCCTGGGGATTATTGATGTTGTAATCTCAAGTCTTCTGGAAGACTTTCTTTATTCAGTCTTTACTGAGGTTATTTGCTAGGAGGTTCAGGCTTGTCTCCTGTATCGACAATAATGCCATTGTGCAAGAGAATGTTTTCATTTATTGCACGCAGTATCCATTTTACAGAAGGATTTCATGCAGAGATGCCATGCTAACATGTAACTGAAGGCTATTTTTGAGGGAGTTTATAGCTCAGGCATTCCCCTCTGCAGTGAAAATACCTAACGTTATCTAGGGACAAAACAAAATTATGTGTTCTACAGAATTCCATGGAATGTGGTTCATGGAAATTTTTCTCTTGCCCCTCAGTTTCAGAATGCTCACACTGTATCAAATGATCTAAAGCTCTAGGCCAGCTTGACAATAAGAAGGTGTTTTGAATTTTAACAGCTAAATTCTGCCTACTGATGGTATGTGTGGTAGGAGCTTCTTTGATTTTTTTCTCTCCACAGCTGGCAACTTTGAAATGTCAGCCACATTTGACAGAAGAGGAAAGAAAATAATTTGGATTTCCCATCATCAATTCTTTTTCAAAATCAAACAACATTACCATATTTTTTTTCCAAATGTGGAGATGATTTAAAGAGGGATATACTAAACTAAAGTTACTGAGTTCTACAGAATTCTTGTCTGTCCTAACACTGCAGGTTGAAAATGCGTGACTCTGGTTTGAAATGTGACTTGTTTGCAAAAGCCATCTTATGATCAAAATTGAAATGAGGAACAGAAGATGCAGATGGAGAATGATGGTTGATTTTAATACCTTGGCAGGGGGCAGCCAAAGTGCAATACTCTGTACTGCTTTTGCTTTTGGTACCAGTTTGGGCATATAAATTGGGTTGAGTTCAACTCTAATAAAATGGTAGAATATGTGTATCTCCAGGTAGCCAATAT